CATAACGTTAAGAAGTGTAGTCAGATGTACAGACACCGACAAAACGAAACAAGGTAACAATTCAAACATATTTCGGCCAAATCCAACTATTTTAATTAGTGGAGAAGGTTTCAAGCCGGAGAGGTCTACAAGCACAGATATGGCTACTGATCCCGCTTGCCAAGGCCTCGTGCCCTCGCAAAATTGTTTCGAAATTTATATCTCCAAAGTTGCCAAAACTTATAAAATGCCTTAGCTACGCCACAGTTAGACACTGATTTTCAGTATATTAGACTGTTCTTTTGATAATGATAGCAATTATTCCTGTAGTTTATCTAGATTCCCGATGGTTAATTCTGACTCGATCGCCGAATGACGATGGCGACGCCATGTTTGTTTAAAAACAGTGAAAGTAGTCCCTACTTGACCTTTGATATTTGCATCTCTATCCGCATATGACCCAAACGGATATCGTTTTCATCCGTTGGCTTTATCCTGCCGAGAAACCTACCCATTATATGATAAATGATTGTATCTACATGCCTAACTCTTTCTTGTATATGGGCCGGTGGCCTTTTGTACAATAAACTTCTTTTGACTTTGACTTTGAATCATAAAAAAGGACAACACTATACAACACTATACATAACAATAACATGATAAAAACGAGCTATAGATCGCAAGCCACTGAAGGTAGATCATACTGGGGACCATGGAGACTTACAGTACTTTTGCTACCTGCATGGACCCCAGCCGGACTTACATCATCCCTTCAGGTGTTTGCGATTATTGGCAGAGTTTGCCCAACATATACGCTTAAAAAAGGAAACGCAAAGTCAGATTTGTGTGAGGTAGGAAAATATATTTATACGAGGAACAGTACAAGGTATTTAGCCAAAATGTTGTGGAGAGAACGCTTGGTGATTGTAGTCATCTCAGTTATCGATACACAGGAAAAGTCACAACCCCAGACGTTGGCTTTTGCGTTGCAGGCCGAGTGGGCTACCATTCCCCAGGATGTGATTCGCATACCCGTCTCTTCCATGGGCAGAAGATGTCAGGCCGCTATCGATTACAACGACAAACGCGTTATTGTTGGTAGCCCACTAGGCCTGCAACGCAAAAGTCAATGTCTGGGGTTGTGGTTGAGTCGGCGTAGCCGTCTATCCAATTCATCCCACGGGTGCTGTGTAGGGTTTCAAATCCGTGGATCTTTAGGTCCAGGGGAGAAAAACAACGTTGTTGTTGTGTAGGCAGGCTCTTGTGATCCGTGCTGTATGCGGTCGAGCGTTGTCCTGCTGGAATACACCGTTGCCGTTGGCTGCAATAGGGAGGACTGCAATGGGAGAATTTCGTTGATGTATCGTTGCGCCGTAAGATTGCACTGGATATGGACCAAACCTGTCCTGCCATGATGAGAGATAACCGCCCACATCATAACGCTACCCCCACAAAACCTGTCCACTTCCTGTACGCAGTCTCCGGCGTAACGTTCTCCCCGACGTCTGTAAACCCGTGCTCTTCCATCCACTCGACTGAGTAATCTTGATTCGTTGTTGAACATGACACTTGCCTTCGCAGATGTGGCCATACCCTCTGTTGACGACACCAATGCAGCCGTTGTTGACGATGTTGTCGAGTAAATATGACTCGTCGAACAGGACGACTTGCTCGTAGACCTGCTGCTCTTAAACAGTTTCGTACGGTCTGGTCGGAGATTCTGCGCAGTCCGGGTATTTGGGATGCGGTTGAGGTGGCTGTGGTCGTCCTTTCACGTTGGTGGCGCAGTCGGATGTAGCGATCTTAGGCGGGGATGTTTACTCTTGGTCGTCCAGACCTTGGCCGATCACGTATTGACCCATGCTGTTGAAACCGATCCCATAGCATTTTGATGGTGATTGGCGCTACTTTGAAAACCCTGGCTATGACGTTGTTTCTTTGCACTTTTGTTAATCTTGGCATGTTGTTCGATTGATGCAGATGCCAGGCAATCCCAAACCCTGCACTTTAATACCGTTCATAGTGCTGCTGCACGTGCCGTGCGTGCAGCTCCATGGCCCTTTTGTTAATGGACTGGGTGCGTTTTTTTCCGAATCGTACGTGTTTCCCGACTAATGGTTTGCATGTCCTTGTTGTGATCTTTTTTATCCAGGATATATGTCACTGACAATTTAACACATTAAACCTTCATTTTGCACCTCTTTGTCCACTAATTTTGCTTTTATGGCCAAGAATATCCGTCTAGCGTTTCTTTTCTTGAAGAGTATATGTTAGATTGCTAGATTATATTTGTCAATTGTGTAATATATAGAAATTGTATGGTTTGTTTATAATTAAATATTCTTAGTAGCAAAACTGAGTTGAGTCCTTCCTTTTTGTTACTTGGGGTACTGTGTCACTCGTAACATACACTCCAGTTTGTTACTCACCAGCTATATGTTGTTACATAGGTACGTCGTCCCCACTGTGTTACTCAACAAATAAGCAATTCAACTCACACAGGAACGCTATCCCCACAGCTAGATATTGACATGTTCTCACATAGGTACGTTCTCCCCACTGTTTTACCAGCTAGATATTGACATATTCTCACATAGGTACGTTCTCCCCACTGTTTTACCAGCTAGATATTGACAGGTTCTCACATAGGTACGTTCTCCCCACTGTTTTACCAGCTAGATATTGACATGTTCTCACCTAGGTACGTTCTCCCCACTGTTCTTCTCAAGAGCTAGATATTGACATATTCTCAGATAGGTACGTCCTCTCGACTGTTTTACCGGCTAGATATTGACATAATCTCACATAGGTACGTCCTCTCGACTGTTTTACCGGCTAGATATTGACATATTCTCACATAGGTACGTCCTCTCGACTTTTTTACCGGCTAGATATTGACATGTTCTCACATAGGTACGTCCTCTCGACTGTTTTACCGGCTAGATATTGACATGTTCACACATAGGTACGTCCTCTCGACTGTTTTACCGGCTAGATATTGACATATTCTCACATAGGTACGTCCTCTCGACTGTTTTACCGGCTAGATATTGACATATTCTCACATAGGTACGTCCTCTCGACTGTTTTACCGGCTAGATATTGACATATTCTCACATAGGTACGTTCTCCCAACTGTTTTACCGGCTAGATATTGACATATTCTCACATAGGTACGTTCTCCCCATTGTTTTACCAGCTAGATATCGACATATTCTCACATAGGTACGTTCTCCCCATTGTTTTACCAGCTAGATATCGACAGGTTCTCACATAGGTACGTTCTCCCCACTGTTTTACCAGCTAGATATTGACATGTTCTCACCTAGGTACGTTCTCCCCACTGTTCTTCTCAAGAGCTAGATATTGACATATTCTCAGATAGGTACGTCCTCTCGACTGTTTTACCGGCTAGATATTGACATAATCTCACATAGGTACGTCCTCTCGACTGTTTTACCGGCTAGATATTGACATATTCTCTCATAGGTACGTCCTCTCGACTGTTTTACCGGCTAGATATTGACATGTTCTCACATAGGTACGTCCTCTCGACTGTTTTACCGGCTAGATATTGACATATTCTCACATAGGTACGTCCTCTCGACTGTTTTACCGGCTAGATATTGACATATTCTCACATAGGTACGTCCTCTCGACTGTTTTACCGGCTAGATATTGACATATTCTCACATAGGTACGTCCTCTCGACTGTTTTACCGGCTAGATATTGACATATTCTCACATAGGTACGTCCTCTCGACTGTTTTACCGGCTAGATATTGACATATTCTCACATAGGTACGTCCTCTCGACTGTTTTACCGGCTAGATATTGACATATTCTCACATAGGTACGTCCTCTCGACTGTTTTACCGGCTAGATATTGACATGTTCTCACATAGGTACGTCCTCTCGACTGTTTTACCGGCTAGATATTGACATATTCTCACATAGGTACGTCCTCTCGACTGTTTTACCGGCTAGATATTGACATATTCTCACATAGGTACGTCCTCTCGACTGTTTTAGCGGCTAGATATTGACATATTCTCACATAGGTACGTCCTCTCGACTGTTTTACCGGCTAGATATTGACATATTCTCACATAGGTACGTCCTCTCGACTGTTTTACCAGCTAGATATTGACATGTTCTCAGATAGGTACGTCCTCTCGACTGTTTTACCAGCTAGATATTGACATATTCTCACATAGGTACGTCCTCTCGACTGTTTTACCGGCTAGATATTGACATAATCTCACATAGGTACGTCCTCTCGACTGTTTTACCGGCTAGATATTGACATATTCTCACATAGGTACGTCCTCTCGACTGTTTTACCGGCTAGATATTGACATGTTCTCACATAGGTACGTCCTCTCGACTGTTTTACCGGCTAGATATTGACATGTTCTCAGATAGGTACGTCCTCTCGACTGTTTTACCGGCTAGATATTGACATATTCTCACATAGGTACGTCCTCTCGACTGTTTTACCGGCTAGATATTGACATATTCTCACATAGGTACGTCCTCTCGACTGTTTTACCAGCTAGATATTGACATATTCTCACATAGGTACGTTCTCCCCATTGTTTTACCAGCTAGATATTGACATATTCTCACATAGGTACGTTCTCCCCATTGTTTTACCAGCTAGATATTGACATATTCTCACATAGGTACGTTCTCCCCATTGTTTTACCAGCTAGATATTGACATATTCTCACATAGGTACGTTCTCCCCATTGTTTTACCAGCTAGATATTGACATATTCTCACATAGGTACGTTCTCCCCATTGTTTTACCAGCTAGATATCGACATATTCTCACATAGGTACGTTCTCCCCATTGTTTTACCAGCTAGATATCGACATGTTCTCACATAGGTACGTTCTCCCCATTGTTTTACCAGCTAGATATCGACATGTTCTCACATAGGTACGTTCTCCCCATTGTTTTACCAGCTAGATATCGACATGTTCTCACATAGGTACTACACCCAACGGTTACTCACCAGCTTGATATTGGCTTGTTCCCACATCGGTACGATCCTGCTCTTGAAGTGGGTGTGGCATCTGGGTGATGTACGAAGGGATGTACACTGGGGCTTGATCATCCACGGAATGATGGGGTTGTCGTGGTACACGGCGTCATTCATCCAGGTCTGGTAGGCAGAGATCCGGTTGTCAGCCTGGACACGGAACACCAGGATCCAATCATCTATCCGGACCAGATCTGGAATGATAGCCCGACAGTATTGCATATGGTTTACTGTCGTGTTTACTTTGAACACAGTGTTTATCTTTCACCTTCCTTAACTATCCACAGAACAGATCTTCAGACTTTGTACGATCAACTGCCGGAGCCCTGTATCATCAATAAACGGTCATAATCCCCCATGGGGAAGTACTGATACTCATGACATCAATTACTGGATTGTCTGGTCCAGACTCGATTATTTACAGATCGCTGTCATATAACTGGAATATTGATGAGTGCAGCGTTAAACAACAAACAAACTAACCAACTGATACAAATAAGGGAAAAGTCCTTGAAGATTTTATATCAAACAATGATTTATGCATGTTTTCAATGATAGATCTTACCTGCATCCCTCACTTCCCTTGATATTTGACTGACAGATTCAAATATTTAAAAAAGTTCAAATAGTCGGTCCATGATGACCTTTGTGGATGTGACCATTTTCCAACAATACTTTCAACTATCAATCCGTGTGACGAACCACGGCACTCGTGAAGAGCAACCTCCTCGTGGTGAGTGCTGGGTAGCGCTAATAGCTCTTCCCCCGTGTGGAACCGGGGTAGAATACTTCCACAGCACCCCATTGCTGGTCGTAAGAGGCGACCAAAGTGGGCAGCCCGTTTGCCGTGGGTTGCGTCCCTGTGTCGGCGGAGGACGGGAGTCTGGTGGTTGAGGGCACTGGTTCCAGGAATAGTGTTCCTTTGCCCAATACACCACTTTGACCCTTACTTCGCCTAGACGGGTGGTAAGATGGGCCCGGTCTTATCAATCGGCTGGTCATGCCAAGCCCTGAGCACCTTCCATTTTGCTCACTGTTCTCACTATTCCGGCTTGGAAATTTATATCTATCATTGACTTGTTTCAGTTTATGACAGAACTGTTTTATGTGAATATATATGTCTATTGTTATTTTGTACTATTTGACATATTCAAAATTTGCCTAGATGCCAATGCCAGAAGGCGGTGGCTCATGGGCCAATCCGGTGGATTTATTGATCTTTGATTAGTACTTCTGCTTGAGTATACCCTCCTGGTATCCTTGGTGCCGTCTGTTGGAGATCCACAGACGTGTGGCATCGTCCACGTAGACACTCCATGGTGGGTGGGGAGCTAGGAGGGTGAAACACATTTAATACTACCATGGCACCACCACTAAAAAAACGCTCACACGAATCAGATGATTCGCTCTCTTCTGGAGATGAAGATTCTCCTCGAACACTCGTAAATCCTGATGCTTGGTCTCGATTTCTCGTCATGTCTGATCCGAATGGTGATCCACTCAAACTGAACCCATTTGCGATATCAAAGGGTATTGACGGTTTAGTTGGTGAAGTCAAGGAAATAAAGAAATTGCGATCTGGATCTCTATTGATCCAATGCAAAAAACAAATACAATCCCAAATTCTTCTGTCCACCAAATCTCTAGCTAATGTTCCTGTGGAGGTATCCCCTCACAGGACACTGAATAGTAGTAAAGGCATCGTTCGTGATATTGTACGATGCCTTTGTGATATGACAGAAACTGAAATTGTGAATGAATTACACTCCCAGGGAGTTACTGCTGTAAAACGTTTTACCGCAAAAAGAAATAACGAAATCACAAAAACAAACACTTATCTGTTTACTTTTTGTCTCCCGATTCGTCCAGACTCGCTGAAAGCTGGTTATTGCAACTTAAGAGTGGATACTTTTATCCCAAATCCCTTAAGGTGCTACACTTGCCAAAAATATGGCCATGGCTCGAAATCTTGCCATAATCCAGCTGCATGTTATCGGTGTGCTGGGACATGCGATGATAGTAATCTGTGTAACAAACCAACTAGCTGTGTCAACTGTTCAGGCAACCATCCTTCTTCTTCGAAAGACTGTCCTACGTGGAAACTACAGTCCAAAATATCAAAGATAAAGCATAAACGTAATATATCTTTTTTCGATGCAAAAAAGGTTGTTATTGCTCAGGAACAAGCAGGTCCGACATATTCTTCTGCTGTTTCTGCTTCTCTGCAGGTTTCTACCACGACTAAACATGTTTCATGTCAATCCATAGCTTGCCAGACTGATTACACGTGGGCCAAAACCTCTGGCCCAACGTTATTATCTACAGAAATGCAGGTGAGACAACTACAAGTAAACTCTACCTCCCAAACCTCACAGGTATTCACTCAATCAATGACACTTTGTCATATGGATGCAGACCAATCATCAAAAATAGTTTCTGAACAGTCTAAATCAGAAACAAATGTCAAACAAATTTCAACGAACAAACCAAAACCAAGAACCGAACAATCTAAAAGGTATCAGAGTGGCAGGGCCTCGAAAGGGGCAGAAAACAAGATCCAGCTATTTAACAAGTTTGGATCACTTGAGGACATGGATGTGTCCGACACGAGCCATCACAGGGCACATAGCTTGTCGCCCTCAAGGAAGGTGAGGGGTAGGTCCCCTGTCAATCCCCCTAAAAGATAGTGTTTACAACAAATATAGTACAGTGGAATTGTAGTGGATTAAAGACTAATTTTAATGAATTACATCTATTAGTCCAAGATTTTAATCCATCAGCATTCTGCTTACAAGAGACATATTTAAAGCAGACAGACCAATTTAACTTACGTCAGTTTAATGCGTATCATTCGTTTTCTCCTCCAGGTAATAGAGCCTCAGGAGGATCTTCAATCATTGTGCGACAGAATGTTATACACAGTCCTGTTGTGCTTAATACTAATCTGCAAGCCGTTGCAGTGCGACTTACTCTGCACATTGCATTTACACTGTGCTCTCTTTATATTCCACCGTCGTCAGCTCTCCAGCAGTCTGAACTTCAAAATCTCTACGATCAGCTCCCAAAGCCATGTATAATCATGGGTGATTTGAATGGACACAATCCACTCTGGGGTGGTACAAACACAAATGCTAAAGGTAAAGTACTTGAAGATTTTATAATAAATAATGATCTGTGTATCTTTAATGATGATGCACACACTTATCTGCATCCAGCAACTGGGATTTACTCTTCAATGGATTTGTCCCTTACTGATTCTAATCTACTCAATGATTTTGATTGGTCTGTCCACAATGATCTTTGTGGAAGTGACCACTTCCCAACTATCCTATCAGCTGTAAATCCGTCTGATGTTCCTCCTTCTACACGATGGAATTTTACAAAGGCCAACTGGTCTTTGTTTCAAACAATGTGCCAAACTGAAATAAAACCCGAATGTTTTACTGATGCTGACGATCCTATTCAGGATTTTTCTGATGTTTTAAATAGAATTGCTGACGAATGCATACCTAAATCCTCTACAATTCCACATATACGTAAACCATGGTTTAACCTCGAATGTAAACAGGCTAGAAAAGTGAGAAAAAAGGCAGAGAAATATTTTCGACGCCACCCAACTGTCCATAATTTAAATAAATTTAAAATGTTAAATGCTAAAGCTCGTCGAGCATTTAAACAGAATAAACGCCAATCTTGGCAAAGCTATGTCTCGAAAATAAATTCCCGTACTCCAATATCTAAGGTTTGGAATATGGTACAAAGGATTAAGGGCAAAGGTTCAAAATCTAGTGTTCATCATCTTAAGGATGGTGACACATTATTAACCGATAAAAGAGATATAGCGAATAAATTGGGAGAAACTCTTGCTCAACATTCTTCCTCATCAAATTATGCACCGAATTTTCAAAAATTTAAAGACCAACAAGAAAAAAAGAAAATTAATTTTAATTCTAATAATGGAGAGGATTACAACGAAGTTTTCTCCATCCATGAGCTGCATACCACCCTTGGGCAAGCTCATGATACTGCCACGGGTGCTGATAATATTCATTATCAGTTACTCAAACATTTACCCGAGTCATGCTTAGAAACTTTATTGACTATTTTTGATCACATCTGGACAACTGGGAATTTCCCTTCATCTTGGCGAAATGCCGTTGTTATTCCAATTCCAAAACCTGGCCGTGATCATACTGATCCTTCCAATTATAGGCCGATATCGCTTACTAGCTGTGTCTGTAAGACCATGGAAAGAATTGTAAATAACCGACTTATATGGTATTTAGAAACTAATACTCTTTTAACCAATATTCAATGTGGTTTTAGAAAAAATAGAAGTACAGTTGACCATTTGGTTAGACTGGAAACATTTGTGAAAAATGCTTTAATAAATAAACAACATGCGGTATCAATATTTTTCGATCTAGAAAAAGCGTATGATACCACCTGGAAACATTGAATTTTAAAAGATCTTTATGACATGGGTTTGAGAGGGCGTTTGCCAAATTTTGTGTCTCAATTTTTAACAGATAGAAATTTCCAGGTTCGTGTGGGATCCACCTTGTCTGATTTTTACGATCAAGATCAAGGTGTCCCACAAGGTAGCATATTATCGGTAACGTTGTTTAGCATAAAAATTAACAGTTTAGCTAAGGTTTTAAATGACTCTATTGACGGGTTTTTGTTTGTTGACGATTTTGATGTATCATGTCGGGGTAAAAATATGCACACGATTGAGAGACAATTGCAACTTTGTCTGAATAAAATCAATGTTTGGGCAGAGCAGAACGGATTCAAGTTTTCTAAATCTAAAACAAATTGTATTCATTTCTGTCGAAAATATAAACCGCATAAGGACCCTGATTTACATCTAGCTGGAACACCAATTAAAGTTGTCAAAGAAGCTAAATTTTTAGGAATTATTTTTGATCATCACCTTACCTTTTTACCACATATTAAATATTTGAAAGCTAAATGTCTGAAGGCACTAGATTTATTAAAGGTTGTTTCTAATTCCAAGTGGGGAGGTGATCAAACGACCCTCCTTCACTTATATAGATCACTTGTCCGTTCTAAGCTCGATTATGGCTCCATCATCTATGGTGGAGCCTGTAAAAGTAATCTTAAATTACTTGATCCCATACATCATCAGGGTCTGAGGCTTTGCCTTGGATCTTTCAGAACTTCTCCGATT